AGACTTTCTGAGTGAGTATAGTCCATCTAGATCTATCCAGCTGTACTGATTTAACGTGTGTATATTTTAACAGTGTGAGGGAGTTTTTTTTCTTTTATAGCTTAAACATATCGTAAGGTCAGTCCCTGGTCAGTATAGTTCCTCGTTTAACAACAGTTGATGGTCGTTAAGTCTGTGTTATTGTTTATTTCCTGTGTTTCATTAAGTGTTATTGTTAGTCACGGTGTTGGTATTACGTGACGTCACTCAGCAGACTTCAGAAAAGTTGTAATATTGAATTGTTGTTGTTATTATTGTTTTTGTTATTGTTGCTTGGTGGATATTTTAACGTGAATTTGTTAGCAATGGACCTAACCTGGTGAAGATTCCTAATTGGTGAACAGGTAATAGTACAGGGGGTTGATACCGTGACTTGGTTGGTGATTAAGGTAATACTGTACCTTCTGTATTGCCTGTACAGTGTTACAGGTGTGTGTGTGTGTGTGTGTGTGTAATGATGGGTTGCTTCAGGGTGAGAATGGTGGGGTGAATTATGTTGGTGTGATAACATAAACAAGATCTCTCTCTCTCTCTATGCATGTACAGTAGATGAGGAGCAGGTGTTAATATACTGTCAATGAATATTACAGGTGTATGTAAGACACAGATGTGCGGACACAAGTGCTTCTGCCGCAGATATCAGTCTACGACTCCTACTTTTACTGCTACTTCTGCTGATATTACTACTACTACTACTACTACTAATATCACTGTTCTCTCTCAAACACACACACACTCTGGGGGTCAAAGGCCTGACACTCGTCCATAAAGGAGGAACAAAATAATACTCGAATTTGGAGCGCATGACGTCATCACCTCAGCTGAGAAACCGCGCACGCATTCCTGTCTGTGTATGTGTGTGTGTGAGTGAGTGAGTGTGTGTGTGTGTGTGTGAGTTAGTGTGTGTGTGTGTGTGTGTGTGTGTGTGTGTGTGTGTGTGTGTGTGTGTGTGTGTGTGTGTGTGTGTGAGTGAGTGTGTGTGTGTGAGTTGGTGTGTGTGTGTGTGTGTGTGTGTGTGTGTGTGTGTGTGTGTGTGTGTGGGTGGTGTGTGTGTGTGGTGTGTGTGTGTGTGTGTGTGTGTGTGTGTGTGTGTGTGTGTGTGTGTGTGTGGGAGGATAGGTGGCTGTTTTATATAAATATGGTACAGTGTGGTGGTGTGGGGTATGGTGCAGTGTGGTGGTGGTAGTGTGGTATGGTACAGTGTGGTGAGTGTGAGGTATGGTGCAGTGTGGTGAGGTGGTAGTGTGGTATGGTACAGTGTGGTGGTGGTGGTGTGAGGTATGGTACAGTGTGGTGGTGGTGAGTGTGAGGTGTGGTACAGTGTTGGTGGTGTGAGCTATGGTACAGTGTGGTGGTGGTAGTGTGAGGTATGGTGCAGTGTGGTGGTAGTAGTGTGAGCTATGGTACAGTGTTGGTAGTAGTGTGAGGTATGGTACAGTGTGGTGGTGAGGTATGGTGCAGTGTGGTGGTGGTGGTGTGGTGTGGTACGGTGTGGTAGTGTGGTGTGGTACAGTGTGGTGGTGGTGTGGTGTGGTACAGTGTGGTGGTGGTAGTGTGGTGTGGTACAGTGTGGTGGTGTGGGGTATGTTACAGTGTGTGGTGGTGGTAGTGTGGGGTATGGTGCAGTGTGGTGGTGTGAGCTATGGTGCAGTGTGGTGGTGGTGGTGTGGTGTGGTGCAGTGTGGTGGTAGTAGTGTGAGCTATGGTGCAGTGTGGTGGTGGTAGTGTGAGGTATGGTACAGTGTGGTGTGGTAGTGAGTGTGAGGTATGGTACAGTGTGGTGGTGTGAGGTGTGGTACAGTGTGGTGGTGTAGTGTGGTGCAGTTTGGTGGTGGTAGTGTGAGGTATGGTGCAGTGTGGTGGTAGTAGTGTGTGTGAGGTATGGTACAGTGTGGTGGTGGTGGTGTGGTATGGTACAGTGTGGTGGTGGTGGTGTGAGGTATGGTGCAGTGTGGTGGTAGTAGTGTGAGGTATGGTGCAGTGTGGTGGTGGTAGTGTGGGTATGGTGCAGTGTGTGGTGGTAGTGTGAGGTATGGTACAGTGTGGTGGTGGTAGTGTGAGGTGTTGGTACATTGTGGTAGTGTGAGGTATGGTTTGTGTGGTAGTGTGTGTTGTATGCAGTGTGGTGGTGGTAGTGTGGTGTAATTGTGCAGTGTGGTAGTGTGAGGTGTATGGTACAGTGTGGTGGTGGTAGTGTGGGGTATGGTACAGTGGTGGTGTTGAGTGTGGTGGGTACAGTGTGGTGGTGGTAGTGTGAGGTGTGGTGCAGTGTGGTGTGGTGGTGTGAGGGTGTGGTGGTGTGGTGGTGGTGGTGTGAGGGGTGTGGTGCAGTGTGGTGGTGGTGGTGTGGGGTGTGGTGCAGTGTGGTGGTGTGGGGTGTGGGGTGCAGTGTGGTGGTGGTGGTGTGGGGTATGGTGCAGTGTGGTGGTGGTGGTGTGAGGGTGTGGTGCAGTGTGGTGGTGTGGTGTGGTCAGTGTGGTGGTGTGGGGTGTGGTGCAGTGTGGTGGTGGTGGTGTGGTGTGGTGCAGTGTGGTGGAGGTGTGAGGGTATGGTACAGTGTGGTGGTAGTAGTGTGGGGTATGGTGCAGTGTGGTGGTGGTAGTGTGAGGTATGGTACAGTGGTGTGGTGGTGGGGTGTGTGGGGTGTGGTGCAGTGTGGTGGTAGTAGTGTGGGGTGTGCAGTGTGGTGGTGTGAGATATGGTGCAGTGTGGTGGTAGTGTGGTGTGGTGCAGTTGGTGGTAGTGGTTTTGAGGTATGGTAGTGTGGTAGTGTGAGGTGTGGTACAGTGTGGTAGTGTGAGGTATGGTACAGTGTGGTGGTGGTAGTGTGGGGTATGGTACAGTGTGGTGGTGTGGGGTGTGGTGCAGTGTGGTGGTGGTGTAGTGTGAGGGTATGGTCAATTGGTGTTGGTGGTAGTGTGAGGTATGGTACAGTGTGGTGGTGGTAGTGTGGGGTATGGTGCAGTATGGAGTGTGAGGTATGGTGCAGTGTGGTGGTGGTGGTGTGGGGTGATGGTGCAGTGTGGTGGTGTGGTGTGGTGCAGTGTGGTGGTGGTGGGTGTGGTGCAGTGTGGTGGTGTGGTGTGGTACGGTGTGGTGGTGGTGGTGGGGTGTGGTCAGTGTGGTGGTGGTGGTGTGAGGGTGTGGTGCAGTGTGGTGGTGGTGGTGGGGTATGGTGCAGTGTGGTGGTGTGGTGCAGGTGTGGTGGTGTGAGGTGTGGTTGATTATTGTTGGTGGTGGTGTGATTTGGTACAGTGTGGTGGTGGTAGTGAGGTATGGTACAGTGTGGTAGTGTGAGTGTGGTGCAGTGTGGTGGGTGTGAAGTATGGTACAGTGTGGTAGTGGTGTGGTGCAGTGTGGTGGTGTGAGGTATGGTGCAGTGTGGTGGTGGTGGTGTGAGGGTTGGTGCAGTGTGGTGGTGGTGGTGTGGTGTGGTGCAGTGTGGTGGTGGTGGTGTGAGGTATGGTGCAGTGTGGTGGTGGGGAGATGGTTGGTGATGGTGGTGTGAGGTATGGTACAGTGTGGTTGTGAGGTGTGGTGCAGTGTGGTGGTGTGGGGTATGGTACAGTGTGGTGGTAGTAGTGTGGTGTGGTACAGTGTGGTGGTAGTGGTGTGGTGTGGTGCAGTGTGGTGGTGGTAGTGTGGTGTGGTGCAGTGTGGTGGTAGGGAGTGGGGTACAGTGTGGTGGTGTGAGGGTGTGGTGCAGTGTGGTGGTGTGGTGTGGTGTGGTGGTGTGGTGTGAGGGTGTGGTGCAGTGTGGTGGTGGTGGTGTGAGTTGTGGTGCAGTGTGGTGGTGGGGATGGTGCAGTGTGGTGGTGTGGTGTGGTGTGGTGGTGGTGGTGTGGGGTGTGGTGCAGTGTGGTGGTGGTGGTGTGGGGTGTGGTGCAGTTGGTGGTGGTGGTGTGGTGTGGTGCAGTGTGGTGGTGGTGGTGTGAGGGGTGTGAATAGTGTGGTGGTGGTGGTGTGAGGGTATGGTGCAGTGTGGTGGTGGGGAATGGTACAGTGTGGTATGTGAGGTATGGTACAGTGTGGTTGTGAGGTATGGTACAGTGTGGTAGTGTGGTATGGTACAGTGTGGTGGTTAGTGTGAGGTATGGTACAGTGTGGTGGTAGTAGTGTGGTATGGTACAGTTGGTGGTAGTAGTGTGGTGGAGACAGTGTGTGGTGGTAGTAGTGTGAGGTATGGTACAGTGTGGTGGTGGGGAATGGTACAGTGTAGTAGTGTGGTATGGTACAGTGTGGTGGTAGTAGTGTGGTATGGTGCAGTGTGGTGGTGGTAGTGTGAGGGTATGGTACAGTGTGGTGGTGGTAGTGTGAGGGTGGTGGTGGTAGTGTGAGGTATGGTACAGTGTGGTGGTGGTAGTGTGAGGTATGGTACAGTGTGGTGGTGGTAGTGTGAGGTATGGTACAGTGTGGTGGTAGTAGTGTGAGGTATGGTAGTGTGGTGGTAGTAGTGTGAGGTATGGTACAGTGTGGTGGTGGTAGTGTGAGGTATGGTACAGTGTGGTGGTGGGGAATGGTACAGTGTGGTGGTGTGAGGTATGGTACAGTGTGGTGGTGGTCGCGGTGTTCGGTATGATACAGTGGAGGGGTTCAGTTACAGTAAACGGTATTAACATCAATGTGCTGTACCGGCGTCAAGCACGGCACCATGGGATTGTTAAGACGTGAATTGTGGTACAGTGAGATACAGGATACAGTTAGGAGGTAAAGGGAGGTAGAGCAGGTGGAGGAGAGCGCACGTCCGCCGCGGGTGGTGACTGCGCTCTGAATATGCACCCGCGCCCACTATCACAACTCTTTAAAATGATAATCAGGTCCGCTGTAATTTGTGGGCGGAGTTATACAGCGTGCTATGATTGGTCAAGATGGCTGGGTGGGCGGGACTATGAGAGGTGGGCGGAGTCAAGCGGGAGCTGTGTGCGGCAGGGCCTCATCGGCCAGTTCTTAGGGAGACGCCATCCCTTGTGGACGTTGCGTGCAGACTTTAAAGCATCCGAAAGCACGCACGCACACGCAAACAGTTGGTGCTCTCACGCTGTCAGTGCTACATAACGCGGTGCTCGCATGCTCAGAGTCACAACTAACAGTATCGTAGCGGCCGCGTCAAGTCGCTGGTGCTCCTAGAAGTGTTGGGTGACGGAGGTTGGTGCAGTGTGTCAATCAAACCTCTTCTCGTAGGGCGCCGCCCCCAGTGACCTGAGAGTGTTGGGTGCTGATGTTATGACGTCAGCGAGATCAACGGAGTGCAGAGGAGGGTCAGGACAGTGAAGATGGCTCTCATAATGTGGCCCCGTAACGTGGACAGTAGCCAACTGACAGGTAGGCAGTACTTACTCTACGGGCTGGGCACGCGCACCCTCGCTGCCCTGCCCGGAGTTACCTCACCTCACCTCACCTCCTTCATTCCTCCTCACAAGTGACTCCCACAACCCATAACTCACAACAACAACAAGATTGAAGCATGTGTAGGTGGTGTGTAGAGGTGTGTTAAGAGGGTGTTGCACGGCGTGGTGGTGGCGGTGACTGAGGTGTGGTATACCGTCTGTTGTAAAAGTTAAGTAGGTTTATTTTTTAGTGTCGTGTCGTTGTGTGGCGGTTTATTCTCTGTTTTACACGTATCTCTGTGTTTTATCAGTGTTATGCCTTATCCCCCGTTTGTCTTACACTTATTTTATCGCTAGTTTGACCGTAACATAAACCAAGGTGCTGTAGAATACATACTAGGCTTTATTTAACTCTGGGGAAATACATCCACTCAACAATTAAATTTAACTATTATTAAAATTTATTTATCAGGGAATAATTATCATCAGAATATCCATAATTACGTATAAAAAATATTCTCCATAATTATTTACTTAGAAAAATCAATATTAGGGAAGTTTTGAAGATAAGTGGTGCTATTATGTACAAGTGAGGAGGACTTGCCCTTGTGGCGTGACCAATTGTTGCCCCTTGCACCCTCTTACCCCAGCAAGCTAATTTGCATATTAGGAACCACCGTAAAAATGATGTATTACCCTCATAGAGTCTGTGTGAGTGTTGGTCCGAGTTTAGTACCTCGCTCACATTACCTAAAACACCTAATGATAATAAGAATAATAAAGTAATTTCTTTTGTTGTATACTTAAAATAATAATAATTTCAGTGACATTGTTATAACTTGTCAACTTGTTTATTAATAATGATTTAGTATAGAAGGAGGAGAATTTTTTTTGTATTTTGAGATTAAAAACTCGAAAAAGATTAATTTGGAAAAGCAAACACTTAAAATATATATTGAATTGTGTTTTAAGAGTTTCTGAGTTACTTAAGTGATTGTTATTAAATGTAATCTTTGTAATTTGTCTTAGTGGAGTTGTAATTATTATATTAATCCTCTTTTTTAACACAATTTACAGACATATTTAAGATCCACAAATTCTGATATAGATATAATAATTTTATTTAAGTTGAGAATTACAATAGTTTAGTTTTGTCGTCAATGTATATACTCTACTCAATTCTTGGATGGAAATTAGTGCTGAAACTTTGAGTGGTCGCACGTTAATACTGACGAAGAATGAGATGATATATAATATGAATTACATCTTGATTCCAATTTACCTGAAGCTGAGGGAGAAAAAAAATCAATAATTACTTAACTAGATCTTTAAGATTTCACCTCATTCTCAAACACAAGACAATGTTATGTGATGTGGCTTTTGTATTGTCTTTTTTTTTTTAATATAATTCGTAATTTATATTGATGTAATTAGTTTTTTTATTCGGAAATTTATGTAATTGATGTTAGGTTGTTACTTGAGGATGCAGTTAGAGTTTTTGTGAAGAATTAGGGATGTTAGTCAAGTACAAGTTCATTAAAGTTCATTAACAAGATTTAAGTGTACGTAATTCCTTGTTATTCTTAGTCTTTATTTCGGTAATGTGGTGTAGTTGCAGGTGATTTTCAAAGGTGAATTTTTACAGTTCTGAACTTTACCTAAACTGAAAAATATATTTGCAGGTTAGGTTAGGTTAAGTGAGGTGAGCTTGGGTTAGATTAGTTTCCCTTGTGTATCACCATAAACTATTTAGGTCCGTTGCACAGATTCAAAAATATTTAATCAGGAAAAATTTACCATACAAATTAACACTGGATCACTTACATGAAACAGTATAGAAAAATGATCCCTGGACACATAGTAACTAGATTCAACCATGGTTATCCCTCTAATAGCCCAATTCACGTAGTTAATGGTACTTAAGAGTAATATCTCAACAAAGGCGGTAGTTTAAGTAAAAGTCATGAGGTAGTGAGGACTTGCTGGACGCCGAAGAGGAAGTCTTTATCCCAGGGAACAACGGAAAGTGAGGCTCAGGAAGAGGTCTTGTACCCCGCTGGTATAATTATTAGCGGAAGGATCACGTGAAGATTAACACCCCCAGGTTATTTTTATCTTAAGACGGACACATAGTGTCTTACACTAATTTAACCTAATCTAACTTACCGTAACCTAACCTAACTTACCCTAACCTGTAACTCTACACTAACCTAACCCCTCTTCCCCCTTGGTTAATCTTAAGGTGAAAATAAAAGAAGAGAAACTTGTTGGAAATACTAAGATCATGTTACCACCAGACGGGAGAGAATAGATGATATTTCAATTTAGAGATTACCTCCCCTCCCTTCCTCTTCTTCCCCCTCCTCTTCTCTTCCTCCTCCCCCTCCCCTCTCCTCTTCCTTCTCCCCCCTCTTCTTCCTTCCCCTTCCCCCGCCGTGGTTCAGGGGTTCAGGAACTCTTGTATTTAGGGGGAGGGGAGAGAGTAATTTAGCTTGGGTTAGGTTACGTTATTTGGGTGTCGGTAGGTTATTGGTGGGGGGTGTCTCGGTGGGTTGGTTGAGCGGTGGGTAAGGTTAAGTGTTAGAATAGGCTATTAATTTGAGTGCTAGGTCAGGCTAGGTTAAGTATTGTTAGGTTAAAGCCAGTAGGGTTAGGGTAGGTTATTTGAGTATTCGATAACATTATTGAGGCTAAATTACACTGGATTGCACGGGGAAATTACTGGACTTGGCTTGGTGAGGAAATTATTAAACGTGGGCTTGGCGGGGAAATTATCACACAGGGACACATTGGCTTGACCCTTCGGGGAAATTTTTGCTTGGTGATTCGGGAACTGGCTTGGGAGGAATTATTACACAGGGAGACAGCTGGCGTGGCTTGGTGGGAGAAATTATCACACAAGGATACATTTAGCCTGGTTTGGCAAGGAAGTTATCAGACGGGGACATAATTGCTTTGGCTTGGCGGGGGAAATAATTCCACGATGATTCGGGAAATTGGCTTAGTAGGGATATTACTCTACAGGGACACAATTCCTTTGGCTTGCCAGCGAAAATTATTACACCCTGATCTCGTCAACTGACTTTAACGGGGAGATTATGACACAGGGACACTGGAAATGGCCTGTGATCGATATTTTTACAGCGAGAGATGGGGTCATAATGCAGGGTTTGGTACTGTACTGTATAATGATCGGGGAAGGCTTTGTGAGATCGTGTTTGAATATAACTTAATACAGTTTTACTCCTCCGGTGTTTGAGCTAATTTGGAGGAGGGTACAGGTTACATACTGCACTCAACCGCGTCCGTCAGAACCCACACACGGACATATATACACACGGAAACACACACACATACGGAAACGCGGACACACACACACATACGGAAACACGGACACACACACACACACATACGGAAACACGGACACACACACATATGGAAACACGGACACATACACTCATACGGAAACACGGACACACACACATATGGAAACACGGACACACACACTCTATGCAGGCTTGGACACACACACACACACACACACATACAAACACGGACACATACACATACAGGCTACGGACACACACACACATCTTACCTATACAGAAACACGGACACATACACACATGCAGAAACACAGACACACACACACATGCAAACACAGACACACACATACACACACACATACACACACACATACACACACACATACGGAAACCAGCGAGAATTTTAATGGTTTTGGAAAGACGGGGATTTGGTGATGCGGTTAGGTTAGTGTTGTATTATTATTATTATTATTATTATTATTATTATTATTGTTATTATTATTATTATTACCGATATCGTTATTGTTTTTTGGTTTCTCTTTCCTCTTCTACTTATCATTATTGTTATTATTATTATTATTATTATTATTATTAGCGTTTAGTCTTCTTCCTTCTCCTCCTCCTCCTTTTCATCACCTTTTTTTTATTCTTCACTCGACTTCTTACGGATATATTTACTGAATATAATTTATCATAATATACCGATGGGCCGTGTATATCTGGGAAGAGCTATAGTGCATATATATACGCATTACCTATAACTTAATTCTTACCGCCGCCTTGTGATGGCCTCAGCCAGAATTTACTATTATAAAATGCTATTGGAATTTAATCTGTTTTTTTGGGGGATTGTAAATGCTGGTTAGAATTATACTTTTGGTAAATGTGAATGTTCGTGGAATTTTTTTCGTGTTGAGATAAATCCGGTTGGAATTATTTTATTGGAATTTATTTGGGTTAATATGAATGTTATTGGAATTATTTTGTTTGGTAATATTAAACTTACAATTTATTTTGCGTGATATAAACCCTGGTGAAATTAATTTTTAGTAATATTAAAACTATAAAATATTAGAATTTATCTTTGGAATTACAAAAGACAAATTTATCTCCGGGGATAAAAAGAAAAACGTATTGGATTTTTTTGGTAAAATAAATAGTATTGGAATTTATTTTGTGGTGTTATGTATCAGTATTTTTAGGGTATTATAAAAGACAGTTGGAGTTTCTTAAAGGTAATATATAAGTTTAATTCGTGTTTCATTACTTTATTTACACTGACTTCTTTCCTTCAAACTGATTCCTTCATTCACACTGACTTATTTCATTCAAACTGCCTTTTTCATTCACACACACACACACACACTGACTCACCCCCTCCCTCCCCCCCCCACCACTGTAAACTAACCCCCTCCCCCCCTTTCATTATCTCTGACTCGTCCACCTGTTAAGTTAGGTGACCCCGACTATCAAGTAACGTTATACTTGTATTTTCAGCGTCATCCATATCAATTTTTATCAGCCTTATTTCCCCCCCCCTCCCCCCCCCTCACGTAGGTGACGTTTCCGTTAGGTGTTTCAGACATTACCACGATCCTCCTCTTCCCTTTTGCTCGTCTGTTTTAGTTTTATTCATTTATTTATACTCGCTACACCTTTGTTTATACTC